CGATCGGGTTGGATTCGAATTCGGTTTTATAGTACACAAATAAGTTCCTTTAATGGTTTCCAAATCGATTACTTCGTTCAATTCGGATAGGTTTTCAAAATTTCTCTAGATATAACATAAACAGTAATCACAATCTACAACTTGTGTTTGATCCTAATATAGTTTAGCGGAAATAATCTTGAAATGGCACAAACAGGTTCAGGTACTTGATTGATTCTTCTAAGTCCTAGTCGATTGTGACAAAGGGTTGTATTTTTTTCATAACAGAACAATTTTCAGTAATCACATGTTTGATCCTAATATATTTTAGCTTAACTGTGTTTAGTTCTAATATATTTAGGATGTATGTATAGAGATTCTTAGCGCACACTTTTCATTTATCTTTTTTTGTTTTGTTTGCTACAGTTTCCAAATTTCAATCTCTATATGCACTTTGTTGGTATATCTAAGAATTTGTATATTTTTATCTTTACAATTTTGAATTCATGGTTAAAGATATGTCTTTCCTTTATTATACAGACAGAAATGGTTATAAATTTTTTAAATATGTATATTTCCAATTTTTGTTGTTATTAGTTAAAATTTAACAAATATGAAAATTAATCTAAAGAGTTAGAACTACAAAAAATGGAAATATCTTACTATATACTACATTCTAATTGAATGCATATTCAACTTTATATAATCGGATATGTCCATATATATAGAAGTGAATCATAAATTAATTACCTTAATTTTAAAGTAAGGTTTGCATATAAGGCCCTAAAATGTAAAGTTAAAATTTTTTTTTTGCTAATCTTAAAATGTATAACACATACGCTAGTTTCTATATATAATTTTGTCTGCAAGAAGAAGCAAACACGATTATAATTGATAAACATAATAATTTGGTAAGGGTACGAAGACGACAATGGAGAAGCTTCTTTTGCTATGTATTGTCTTTGGCTTGGTGATCTGCATCGTGTCGGTTTGTCAGCTCTCAGATTACCTTTGGAAAAGATGGTATGATTTCCATAAAAATGATGGATTAGTTTAAGGTTTGTAATTTTATCTTCTTCTGTTTTTCATATATATCATAAAAAAAGGTTTGTGTTTCGAGCTAATATATAATTGTTTTTGGTTTCAAAGTGAATCACTCAGTTCTATTTTTCGTGCCATGACAGTCTCAATGACACAAACGTAGTGGACCGGCGAAGAGGGGAGCCACCCCAAACCCGTAAACAAGCAAGAACAACAAATTATATTTTTCTTGTCTAAGACGTTTTTTTTACACGCAGAATCAAAGTATTTGTGGTGGTGGTTTTTTCAAGCAGGTAATGTGACTTTAAACTAGGTTTTTAAAGCAGTTTGCGGCTGTCTAATATATCTTTTAGTAAACTATTTTGTAGATGCTAATCATACAATGAGGTGGTGATAGTATAGTTAATTAGAATGCGTGAATAAGATAGTTTTTTGATATTTCGATCCGAATTTGTAAAGTAAAGTAGATAGCCCAATGTTTCAATTGAACAACATTTGCTTCTCTCGCACACCCTAGAACCGGCCTTGTGGGTGGCACTAAATCGGCAAAGTGCTACTGGCAATGCGTATGCACCGCGGTGAAGTGCATAAGAACCGAATATTTTCTTCTGTACTAGTGACACACATGAATTGAGTATGGTTAGTATTATCTATTTTGCGCTATGGTCTGTACCCTGCATTAATTGAACTTGCAACGTGGTGATTAGTTGTCAATAGTATGAGTTCCCGAATGCTAGGATCCATAAGCCTCGTAAAAGAAGATCGGGCTGTTTTGCGCCATATATACGAACGAGGCTCCGTGTTAGGGCATCTCCAACCTCACTCTATTTCTCACTCTAAAATAGTGTTTAGAGTCAAATTTGCTCCAACCCACTCCAACTATCTCCAAAATGGAGTAAAAGGTAGGTTACTCCTCTATATTTATCACTCTATTTGTTTTTTGTTTTTTTCACTCCATTTTTTATTTCAAAATAGAGTAGGATTGTAATAAAACATAACTCAATTTTAGAGTAAAAAAAATAGATTTTTGGTCGGAGATAGTATTAGCTAAATTTCCCTATGTTGTAACTAATCTAATCTTGAAAATACAAATTTTTTATCTCCAATTACGAAAAATTTGATAATTAGAGTAAAAATGACATTGTTAAACTGAAGCTCAAGAATCCATCTCCGGCCTCTTCTTCCATAGGCTGATTTATTCTTTTTTGTTATGTTTCAAAGTCTATATATGTATATTTCGATTAAGTTTTGGCATGTTATCACTACAATATTCACGCTATTAAATAGAAATATAAATTATGGATGATGGGATTTAACACATTACATTTCAAATTTGGAAGTTATTTTTCTCTTTCTGTTTCATGAAATCAC